CCCATGATTCCTAATCCCACGCGCGTACATGGCGAATCGCCGCTTCATCATTCAATCTCAAATTCAAAATCACTCTCTGAGTTCGTCAAGCTCCACATCGATCTCTTCCCCAACAGATTAGTATCTCTCCAACGTATCTAGGGTTTCTGATTTAACAATCGACGAATATAGAAAATCTCTAACAATGGTAAGAGTCTCTCTGTTTCAGATATCCCAATTTCGAAACCCTAATTTACTTTTTTTTTCTTTTCTTGGGGTTGTGTTGTTTTTCTGGTTTCTGAATGTATTATTGAGTGATCAGGGAGGTGAAGGAGAAGATCTAGAGCCGCTTTTTGATTATCATCGTGTTCAGCCAGCGAATTTCGTTTGCATTGACGGTGTGTTTCTGTTATTGTTGATTTGGAGCGCGAGGAATTTGATGTGTTTCTTCTTATTCCTTTTCTCGATTGAATCTTATTGCAGACGACGATTCTGATGTCTCGGAGGTTCCGGTTAAGAAGAGAGCAAAAATTTCCCAAAAGCCAGTAAGAACTTAGATTTTTGTATAATATGAATTTCATAAATAGGCATTAGAATTGTGAGATGTTTGTTTTTTGTGTTCTGTTTATGGTTCAATTTAGTTTTGGGTCACGGGTTTCCGTTGTAATCGACTACTCGAGGTCGATAAAGAATCAATTCGAAACTGTTCTTTTATAATTCAGAGTTTGAATCTATCATCAACCTACGCAGAATTTGAATCTTTTTATGAATGGGAATTTGCGTTATGATTGAGAGCAAATCGCTTTACTTTTATATAGGTTCTAAAGGAGGATGAAGATGTGAAAGTGATTGAAGTAGCAGGTGATGATGATTGGTTGCCTCCTCCACCAAAGGTTATCTTTGACAAAAATAAAGAGCCTGGTGAAGATTCGACCATTAAAGCATTGAGGTAGTTTTGTATGTCGAGTATTTCTCATCTCTAGGCTTCCCATGTTACTTTGTTTTTGTTTCTTCCAAAGAGTACCATTAGTACACTTTGGTTTGATTCTGAATACCTAAGTTAAATATGTAATGTAGATCCAAGAAAATGGAGCTCATGTCATTCGCGAAAAACGTAGCAGATGTGATGCAGGAAGTCGAGGAGTCTGCTAAACGGGAAGTTGAAGAATCTCTCAATCCATCTTCAGAGGCTGCTGATGTCGCTGCTGCTCAAGCACCAGAAGAGCCTAAGAATGACAGGGCCAAGATTGTCATTACAATACAGGACAAAAATGGAAAAAAACAATTCCGGGTGTATGCTGTAAGTTTTTTTTAACTGCTCCCGACTTACTAGCCATTCTTGCATTAACAAAAAGTGCACTATCCAAAGTTTAACAAACAGATATTTCGAGCTTTTTAGAAAGCTTTAGTATAAAGAGGGGATTGAAGAGATACTTAAGGAGGTGGAGTATTTGAGAAGTGCCTTATAGGGTCTTAGAGGCTTAGTTGAGGTATCTGTAGAAAAAGACGGTATTGGTCTTTTCTTTGGTTGGATTCCAAACTACAATTTGATTTGGTCTAATAAAAGAGAGAATGACCCCTGTTCTTAGCAGTGTGTTTTTCACAACATAGCATTTACACACATAATGGATACTGGTTCCCCTTTGTCATGTACAATGAGCGGCACACAATGCTTTCTATTGTTATCTCTATTTAGTTAAGCTTCCAATCCCTTAGTTTTACAGAGATGCTACATCGTTTTTTATAATTTTTATGTTTCACATGTCTAAGTAGACATGCATTTGTTGTCAAATCTCGTAAACAATGAGATGCCTTTGTGTACTGATGTTGATTTGGTATTTTTACCATTTTCTTGTAGGATGAGAAGTTTGAGCGGGTTTTCAAAATGTATACTGATAAAGAAAAGCTTGACCCGCAAAATATTGTATTTATTTTTGACGGTGACAAGATCAATCCATCGATGACTCCTTCTAATCTTGGGATGGAGGATGATGATATGATTGAAGTACACACCAAAAAACGGTGACAAACAGGTAACTGATCAGGTCATCCTCATATTTTTGTTGTGATTCGATGATGTTCATTATCTTCGATTGGATTCAAGTCAGGATCTAATTGGACTTGGTAATGTAGCTCTTAGCAGACGAATGCACGCACCTGCAGGTCGCATCCGTCTACCAAATCTGGAATTTCAGTCCGTTCAACTATTGCGAAATCCAGAGTTTGTACATCAACTTGGGCATGGAAGGGATCTCTGCTAAGACTGGTGTTGTATCTGCGACCTTTCTCGTTTTATCGG